TATATTTGGGCTCGTGGTGTTCAATCTATAGCTTTTTTGAAATGATTCTTTTGTTTTATTTGTTTTTATTCTTTTATCAATTTGGTACTTTCTTCGACTGGTGGTCTTTTAATACCTAGTAGTATCTTTTTTGTCACGTTTTATGACATGGGCGATTACAAAATGATTCCTTAATTCACTTTTCAAGAAGCTTTTTTCGCATTTTACTCTGTCCTTTTCACCTCCAACGACCGAATATCAAAGTTATAAAGAATATGGTATAATACAAATAAGTTCAGAAAAGCATACTCCTTCAAATAAAAGACTGCTTTTCATGTGAGGAAAACAAAATCGTGCAATACATCCATGAAAGCGAAATCAAACAATACTATGAAACTAAATCAAATGGAAATCTGAAAGTCAACATACGATTTTGTTAATAGAAAAGTGTCTGCTCCAAATGTCAAATTCGAATAAACAAGCTGCAACAGTTACTGACTACCTGCTATTAACAACAAATTCTTTAAAGACAAGAATTATGAAAATAATTATACACCCGAGATAATACCATGACAAAAATTAAAAGTAAACATACAACACGATCTCGTGAAATACCAAATGTAAACTTCATACAAAATTTCAACTAACAAAAAAAAAAAACAATTTAAGGCTCAGAGGATCCTGAATCGCTCATCTGAAAAAAGATACTAATATTTTTGTAAAGATCGGGATCCAAAAATCATACAAAATATTCAAGCCATCACCATCAGCATCTGTTTACAGTTTATTCTTGCTGTTTATCGATTGTGGTTTTCATGATAATAGGCAGAAACACTATAGTAAGATGAGTGAAAAAACTTCATCTCAGGGCAATAATTTCCATACTGGCTCGATTGAAAGTTTCTTTATATTGGCATGTTTTTAGATCTTGTATTGCTGATCCTTTTTGCTGTTTACAGTTTCTTTCTATCAGTTATAGTTTTTGGATTAATTGGCATGATTTGAAAGTTTGACTGTACCTTTAGAAACCTTATTACAAACGATATACCACATCCTAATTTTCATAATGATATAATATCATTAAAAAAAGCCCGTAAATTTAAGTACGATCCATGTAAACTTATATTGTTCCTATTAATAAACTTATTCGCAAGTGATACCTTTGAATGTTGCATTTATCGGTTCCCACATGGATTTTGTTATGTTAATAAATAAATATATGTATAGCCAAAAATGTATTGCTATATAGTAACCAAAGTCCTCAATTCTTTCAATATTTACATTTGTCATTGCACAAGTACATGCTTTTCTCAGACTGTTTATGACGTCTTTTAAGGGCATACGATACAGTTACAGGGTAGGTTATGACGCATTATCCCCGGCTTAGTATATTTCTAGGATTCTGATTGGTTAACGCACGTCGTTACAAAACCCATAGCCCCTGGGTGCTGCTAACCCATATCCCCGGACGTTGCTACCCATTACATCGGGGAATTTCACGCGCGTTTTCCTTAGTTCCATGGTTGTTCCTTATGAAATATCGAATTCTGTAGATTTTCCATGATGTCTGTATAATTAAATATTAATCGACTAACGATTTTATCTTATTATATCGATTATTTGCACTCATTTTAGTAAATGCATCACTATGCAGCCACATTGTCAATGAAAGGTACTACTGACCTAGCTATGCAAATGACCCACGTTGACGTCACACCGTTTATGATGTAACTTTCACAACATTGCGCGCCAATTCGACCCATTTCAGTTTCTCTGTCTCTAGTTTAAAAACGTCACAAGTTATATTTGTCTACCTGTAGGGTTCTACCATAGGTAGTACCCTACACCCCGTTAAAAATATGTCAAATTCCCAAATTTCAAAAAAAGATATTTAAAAAATGAAAAAAACGTTGCTTTCACGTTTAACTTTGTGGTCGAATTTCTCTAAAAATCGCCATATTTAGACTAAGACCGGGGATAAATTCGTTATCTACGTTCATATCCGTAGATATGGATATTTTAACACCCTTCAGTACCTTGTACACCCTTCGGCTGCGCCTCAGGGTGTACTTGGATACTTCAGGGTGTTAAAATATCCATATCTACGGATATGAACGTAGATAACTTATAATCTCCGACGCAGAGCTCATATCCGTTCCGTACCTACTACGTATCACTAAGCATATGACCATTCGTCACAACTCGGCCGATTCCGTACCTTCATCTAAGAGTAGCGGATTCACCCGAGGATTGCCGATTGTGAATATGACCTGACATTTGGCTTGATTATGTTTGAAGATTATTTGTATCAATTTTTATGAATAAATTACAGATGAAATTTTTTTAAATTAGATATATATACTGCAAAAAAATGTCGGCTTTTTTCTAAATTCATGAACATTTGATAAAATTAATTATTTCCAACTTAAGAATTGTTACACAAATTTAGAGCATACTTGTATGAAGAAGATATTTCAAATATTTTTACAAAAAATCCGCTTGTGTTCATCTTTTGAAACAAAAAAGTTAGGTGTGTCTGTCCAAAGGATAGATATTACCAAGAAACCGGCCGAAATTTTGATTTAATATCCAAAGTTTCGACCCCATTTATCTTTAAAAGTAGCACATGAAGGCATTTTTTTTATATTTTGTATTGATTAGGTCAAAAATAGCTTAAATGCTAATTTTCGACAAAAATTCACCGTGGGATCGAAACTGTATTGTATGCCCTTTACACGTTATCTGCTGATTGATATGCCAGTCTTGGGAAATGATCATTTTATTAGTTTGAATTGGCTTTAAACAAGTTTTCGCAATTTGTGTCTTTTGTCTGTTTGTTTGTTGTGTTTGTGCTTAGTTCCGATCTGATGAAAAAACCCTTATGTTGTACTTGTCACACCAGGCTGACAGATAGTTGGTCGTACGTGGTCATACGTTTTGCCCATTTTAGAGGTAGAGTTTTGGTATACAGATTATGCATGCCAAATGTGCCAACAAATGTGTTGGTGATACCCGTTAAGAGATATGGCTTACATTCCTATATTTGTTTCACTCACTCACTCAAAATCAGAAGACTCGTTGAAGAAACCTTATAATTTAAATTTAACAACAAAATCATATAAATCCACTATATGATAAAATTGAAATGTTTTTTCTCAACTACGACCCATGATTGCTGCTGAAGACAGTCTTGACACATTGTTTCAAATTTTGATTTTGTTGTTGTAGAATTTTACATCGAACGACGTCACTAACCAAAATGATTAATTAATTGGTGGATGCATGCTCATTAACACGGCCAACGACCAATAGCACATATATACTGAGGACGATTCAGGTTTATGAGTTATGAAATCAACACTATTTGTTTATTTGTGTGTATTATTCAGATTACGAGTCAACTCAAGTCCTCTGAATGTCGGGTGATTACATGATGGAAAAAAACCACATTTAAAGTCTTCAGTTTGACCCATCCAGTGATACAGACCATGAACTCAAACGCTCGAGGCGAGCATGCATGCTATACTGTCAGACTAACAATTAATTATAATGTTTTACATTTTAATCAAATTGAGTAATTTTTTATCTGAAAGTCAATACACGTTATGGCGTCTGATGGTATATTGGTTTTGGTAAGAATGTCCTTCTTAAGTAATTTTTGGATAAATACTATACAAAAGACACAATATTATATTGGAATGGGAATGCCTGCAAATGTGCTTGTTGTAGATGAAAAAATGTATTTTAATTTTACTTACCTTTTATTTTGAAATACATGTACCATGGGCAGCAAAGGTGTAAGTTCAAGAAGGCTTAAATTTGGCCCTATGATTTTGATGTTTTTTTTAATCAGGCCAAAATACTACAAGTTTCAAATAGAAATAGTTGTGATATAACTATTAATACAAAATAACTTCTTTTTGGCATATCATATTTAAAATGACGAAGAAATGACTCTCGAGTATGCATTATTTGTGTTGTAACGTCAGTTTTGGTCAAATTTCCAATTATTCTTAACAGTTTTTAACATAATTTACTTTGGCCGCCACCCCTGATCCAGAATCTTTTTGTGTCTAGGGATTCAATATCATCATTGGCAACTTTTGGCTACAGCACATTTTGGATCCTAGGTTGCGGCCAAGGGTTTCCTCAAACTTTTAGGTCCGAAAATGCACAAAATCATCGGTTTTTTTGACAATATATCAAAAATGTGCTGACATTGTAGCCTAGAATGAACTCTAATGAAGAGATATGTTTAACCATATAGTAAGGCTTTTGAAATAGATCCATATAAGAAACAAATTATGGCAATTTTGAAATTTTATGATAAAGTTGAAATTCAAGGCCTAAAGTGAACCTTGTCCTTTCAAATGAGTTGAGATTTTTACAACTTGAAAATATTTTTACAAAATATGCCTGCCATCTTGCATCTGTTATTTACTTTGCATAAATTGTTTTCCTGTTGATGACATGTATATGTTTTAATTGTTTGATAAAAACTCTTGGAGTAGCAACCCTTCTATAACTTTTTTTTAAAAACATATAATAATTAACCTGTATGACTCTATATCTATACTTTGGTTTGTTATGTGAATGTTAGGTAAAAGTATTGTATTTTGGGAAGGGTCATATTTTTTTATGTTTATGTCCCTCAGGGAAAATATCTTATTTTTATATCAAATCAAAATTGTATTTATAATCTTATTTCAATGTGAAAATGTGTTACGAAATCATTGTGTAATGTTTGTGTATGTGATTGTCATGCCGTCATTATCTATATATAGTGATCTATAGTCTTTACAGTCAGTTATAAAATGGCTTTGTGGTTTATTTACGGCGGTTGCATTAGTTTATGTGACAATTTATTATTAGAATAAAAATAAATACACCCACCAAAAAAAAAAATTTAGTTTGATGATACAATTTTTGAAACAATAATGAAAAGACAACATTAAAGCGCCATTTCATATTTAAATCTCGGCGGGAACTATCACGAACCTCCCTGAGAGCCTCCGGTAAATTTCCATGTTTTCTAGCATGCCATTTGGGATTGGTATGCAAACAAGCAAAGGTTATTCATTCATTCATTGATTTTTCAAAGAAACAGACGTGTCTATTTATATGAGAAACTAGTCTATGGAAAAATATTTAACAGAAAAAGAGGTAATTTATTTCATTTTTGCAAACCATACAGGAAATCAAAGATTGTTAATAAATTTAATAATTTTTAGTACTGAAATTATGGCTATTTTTAAACATCGACTGAACAACACGTGTATTAATTATAATTGTATTTGCAATGGAAAATTTCCAGAGTTCTCCCAAAAATTGAACGAAGAAATTAACAAATCTTACCGTATAATTTAATTAAGTTAAGTGTTTAATTGTGCTAGATTTGTCATTAGAATATCTTCAGTTTTGATAATATCAATTAAAAAATTGCTTTACTTATTTTCCCCCCAAGATACCATTCAATGTAATTGGATACACTGCATTTATCTTGGTTCTTCCTTAAAATAAAACAAGACTAAATTGATGAAAACATGTCTTATATAAACTCTCAGACCAGAAGTGATGTTCTGTACATTGTTCATTACTGTAATTAGTACATATTTACATATATAGGTATTTGGGGACAGGACAATCATTTTTAGCCCACCCCCTTTTTTCCAAAATCCATTATTTTTTTGTTTTCTTTTAATCTGAACTATTTTTGTGTTTTTCTGTGATACATGTATATTTACATAAATATACTAGAAATAACATGTTTTTACTATTTACTATCAATTCCATAGCGGTCACTGATAATATACATTGTATGTGTTATAATAGTAATTTTAGGTGACCGCTGTGAATAGTAAACTAGGAATTGATAGTAAATGGTAAATACAACTTTTTTCCAGTAGATTTATGCTATAATACCAAAGTAAAGTGTGAAAATAATTGAAATAAAAAAAACCAAACAAAAGTAAACAAATTTTGGAAAAAAGGGGGAGGGCTAAAAAAAATGCTTGGTTAACTTAAGAAGTTACTAAGTTGAAAAACTTGTGTCTAATCCATTTGTACTTTTGAACAATAAAATATGTTTAAACTTAACTAAACAAAAATGTCCTGTCCTCAAGTACCTATACGTTTTAACCTTATTCTTTTATTTTGCACAGTTATTCTATTTCACCCCATTATCTGCTCTATAATTTTTTGGCTCATTTTTCTCTATTCATAATTTTTTTTTTGCCATTTAGTATTATTTTCTATTCTGTAAATCCATTCCAGACCCTAATGAAAGCCTTTAAAAAAAAGGTAAAAATGTACATACCTTTTGGAGCAACAAAATATGAGTTTTCTTTTATCCGGCTGCACCAAGGATTTCTATACAAATCCTTGGCTGCACTAATTAACAGATTGGTGAATTTCCTCATAAAGGTGTACTATCAGTATTCCCATTTATGGGTATTACATGTATGATACCCAAAATCGTGTTTCAATTTACAGTGATAAAAAAAATCGTATTTTGTATTTCAACATAAAGGCTGTCAGAGCAAATATTAATAAAAAGGGCAACAATTTTTTAATTTTTCCCTTGAAGACCATAGTTCAAATTGAATACAAGATAATGGCCTCCAAAAATCCTACTTTTCCAAGATCATTAACTTTTAGTCAGATGATATTTCATTCATTGTGTCTTAGGGGAACATTTTGTCATTTACCTGAATGTTTGATCCGTGACAGTAAATACTTTGAAATCCAAAGTTTAAATTTTTATCACAGAAAATTGATACCTTTTATGGGGTATAATTATACCCCTAAATGGGGATATTGTCTATTAATGAGGACATTTTCCAACCTGATGAAGGGGGAAATTATGGTGAGGACTTTTTTTTCATTCAATATTTTGTCATTAGATACAGAGTATTTTGATATCTGAGCACAGACAGGAACAATTTAGCAAAACAATCAAGCACAGAAACTGCTACATACACAACTCAAGTGATGAAGTGGGTGAAAACCAGTATTTACTGGTATATACTGCCATCCTTGTCAATTCTATAAAACACAAAATACTAGTATTGACCAGTTTTTAGAAACCTTGACTTTGAGAAATGTATGGAATACCAAATTAGCAAAAACTCCTTAATAGACTATATGATAAAAATTGGATTGTACAAACCTGATACACCTGTTGACTCAGTATCAAAAATATTTTTTTGTTTGGGCTTTGAACCATCAAGCAAACAAAAATATACCTGTGGTTCACCTACATTCAGACATGTTTAGTATGCTGAAACATTTGAAGGGTAACTAGATAGGCAAAATAATCTATTTTGATCAATAAAATGTTTTCAATGGGGGAAACAGACTTGATATTATACATGCAGTGCTTGTTTAGAAAAGTCAAAACAAAATCTTTAGGGTACATGTAGGCACTAAAGATTAAGAGTCTGTCAGATAAGTAGAAGCTCTTCAATTTTTTTTAAAGTCTAAGAATATAACATGTAATTAAGCAATACACATTTCATATAAGTACATATATTTTTTCCAAATTTTAGAAGGCATTGGAGGATGATGATTCTTCTCCCATGACCAGCCAGTCCAGTATTGAAAGTGGCGATGAAAATGAAGAAAGAGGAAACTGGTCTGGAAGACTGGACTTTTTCTTATCATGTGTTGGGTATGCTGTTGGTTTAGGAAATATTTGGAGGTTTCCATATCTGTGTTATAAAAGTGGAGGAGGTACGAAACATTATGTTGATATAATTAAAAAGTTTTATCAAGTTCAAATATATTGCAGAAAAAATTAATATTAAAAGAGGGCTGGGAGGGGAAATTAAGCTGTGTCAAAATTTATTTTTGTACATATCAAATGCATCAAGGAAATATTTTGGAGCACTTTCCTATTGACTTGTTATAAAAACCTGTACTTAAAGGTACCATGTTTACCATGAGACACATGTATTTAAAAAGACATGGCATTAATTTATCTAATATAACAGGCAATATATGATATCTGAGGAAAAGGGTTGGAGAATTATATCAACTATTTGTTAAGTCAACAGTGAAATTAAGATAGTTTAAGCAAAAAATAATGACAGTTTTAGCAAATTTTTTATATATTTTAATCATTAGTTGATGATAGAAAAAAAGAAATAATTTGTTCAGTGTATAAAATTCGGTAAATTAATAGAATTTTGAGAAAAATAAATTATTTTGAACTATTCCAGGAGCATTTTTGATCCCCTATGTGATATTTTTGGTGCTATGTGGTATGCCATTATTCTTTATGGAAGTCAGCTATGGACAGTTTGCCAGTCTCAGTCCAATTACTGTTTGGAGGATGTCACCTCTCTTTAAAGGTAATTATTTAACCCATAAATACAGGACAGCTAGATCTAAAAAGTCCAAATTTACTAGTGTTTCAGATAATGATCTCATTTCTTAGTACAATTATAGCACTGAATTAACACATGTTGAACCCAGTTAAAAAGTTTGAGACTAGTTAGCATTGAAGATGAAGCGATTTTAATAACAAAACTTGGCCTTGGATAAATAAGTTTACCAGTTCTGCCAACTTTTAATAATGCAAATGCGTGAGATTTGGCCAAAATCGTAAAGATCAAAGAGAAAAAACAATAGATCAAAGGAAAATGCCGCCAAATAAGCATGAAAATGCGTGAGTCTCACGCTAAATGCGTGAGACTTGGCAGCCCTGGTTTACACATGTAGTCATGTAGAACCACATGTGTAGAACCCAGACACAAAGGTTGGGGGTAGTCTGTAATGTTCAAGAGAAAGGGATTAATCTGTGGAGTATTTACCTTTCTGACACCTGACAAGAAATTATTTAAGTATAAGATACAGATACATGTGAAAGAACTAAAAGAATGTAATCCGTCAAGATTGATAACATCAACTGTGAAGCAATATTCTGTCTATGATAATTATTTTTAATTAGGTTAAATATGTTCACCATGAATAAGGATTACACAGATAAAGGGGAAGGTCTTATCTGGAAAACTTCCTGTGGTGTTATGTAATCTTTTCCTGTAAACAATTATGTCACAGCATAATTAATATTGGCTTGTATTATTAGTTACATAGTGTGCTAGTGACCTACTACGAAATGTACCATAGTTTGTTTAATTTTCCATTGAAAAAGTGTGAGGGTATCTACACATACACCACAGTTCCATATCAACCTTCTGATTGGTTTACCAGAAGATTGAAAATGGTCATGTGGCGTATGTTAGATACCTCACACTTTTAGCCAGAACCTACAATGTAACATTTTCTTTCCTGTAATATTTTTCAACTCTAAATTTTTGCTAAAACTAAAGTGTTGGGTAGTTGTCTCATTGGCAAATACCCAATATCCTTTCTTTTTCTTAAAATAAATACAACAATGAATTTTAATAACTGTATTATTTAAAAAAAAATGTGAAACTAGAAGCCACATATATAAATCCTCTGATCGTCGAGAATGGCACACTGGTAATTTCACTACAAAAAAAAATGCATAAAATTCCATTATGCAAACATTTCACTACAAAAAAGGATGGAATTCCAAAATGCATATATTCCTTTGAATAAAAGACACCACATAATCCACAAATTATGAAATACTGGAATAATCACAAATATATTTAACTTCCACTATTAAAATTGAACACACATCCAGTGAACAAACTTCCAACGCCTCCTGCAGCACTTTTTGATGGTTCACGATTTTCTGTGCGATTCTGAATTTCTGTGCTGTCTTCATGTTTAATTTTCTTGCAAATGCTTTCGCTTGGTTCAAGGATATTTGGATATCCTTTAACATCTCATTGGAAGCCCTTTTATATTTTCTAAAACTCTCCACTGACCTATGGCCTGTTCTGTTCATGATTTCTTGTTCTGGGACTCCTGCCTGGTATAATGTCGTGGCACATGTCCTTTTACCAGAGTGGTTAGTGAAATACCCATCTATTCCGGCTTCTGCACACATGGTTTTCATGATATTAGACAATTTATTGACCCCTACCGACTGTTCACCAAACTTAATACTTCCTTTATCTAGCGGTCTCCTGTAAAAGGCTGTTCCATTTAAATCACGTACCATATTCAAATATTGTTCATATATCTTAAAAAGTACTGGATTTTGTAGATAGTGTTTTAAGTTTTTGGCACTTAAGTTCCGCTGATTGAGTCCACCTGAAAAAATGAAGTATTGACATTGAGTGACATTTAAATCATACACTGAACAAAACTAATTCATGAAATATGAAACAGTTTTATATCGCCTGGATTGGGTAAAATGTAATAAGCATACACGCTACGCAAGATATAACATACCCGTTTTTACAATGAATTTGCATAAAATGAAGCACCTGTTGTAGCTCGGACCTCAACGAAGACACCCGGATTTTCTGAAAATCGTCAGTCTGACAAGTATTGTGACCAAATTACACAAAAGAACGAATTAAAATACACAAGTTCACTGTCACAAGAAAAGAAAATACTAAAAAAATGTAAGAAAAATTAAACTGACCTTTGTACGTTTTGTTGGCTCTGCCCTTGAATAATATATAGCTTCCCGTCTGATCCTTTCCCAGTTCGAACTGGTCCACGGACAGATTCCGATGCTCATCTACACCTCTGAGTCCAAAAAGTTTACTGTTATAGAAAAACATGGTATTCATTATAGCTTTAGAACTGGTATTCCCAAGCAAACCCTTTTCCCAGAGAGTGCTTTCCGTTCCCTCGCTTATCGCCTCTGCCTGTTTAGTAGTGGTGCCTATACCCTGTTTTGTGAGTTCGGTCATGCGTGCGCTTAAAGAACGTCTGAAATCATAAAATACACAGTCTTTTTCGTCCAAAAAGTTCATATGCACACCATTCTCTCGGTGAAATCTCAGTATGCCAACGCATAAAAGATATAATGTCTTTGGGGGATACGGCTTACCATCTTTTCTTCTGGTCTCTATTACAAACTTGCTAAGCCACTGATTTACATCATTGGCGGTAAACTGTAAAAGTTCTGGAATGGCACAATAATTACTTTTCATTCGCGCAACTTTCCAGTCGTTAAATGTGGCGACACTCCAAGTAGTATTTTTCCGTGTATTTCTGCTTTCAGTTGACTTAACTAATTTATCAATATCAATATCTTCCACAAAAGAATAGCGTGAATTCTCGTTACAATTCACAGTAACAGCCTTTTCCAATTCTTCAATAATATTATCCGCCGTAAGGAGAACCTGCGTAAGTTCAAAATCTGGCAAGTCATCCATTTCAAAATCCACTTCATATTGGTCCAAAGCCTGAGAAAGAGTTAAATCCTCCAGCTTTTCGAAAGCAGTATTTTCATTTTCAGCATCTTTGCATGTTTGTGATAATGTCAGATCGTCTATACTGTTGTCCCATTCAGGAATTACATTCAAAAAGTCAATGTCACAGGTCTCCATTTTTGCAGCCATTTCAGACGACTGAAACGCGCAAACTGATAATTCAGCGGGAAAGGCACTTTTCATCACGTGATATCAGTTAATTGTGACGTCTAATGAACTTTGACACATGTCATTTACCAAATTAAAAATTTGATTGGGTATGTGTAGATACACCACAGGATGGACTAAATTTCACTCGAAAGCAAAGCTTTCTCGTGAAATTTAGTCCCTCCTATGGTGTATCTACACATACCCAACACTTTTTTATTTGGTAACTTTAACATATATGGGGTCAGTAAATTCCATATGGGGATTCGCTCGAATCATATTAGGGCAATAGCACACTATGTAACTAATTTATCTTACTGACTATCTTAACATGTGGTATTTAGACTAGTGGCCTATCAAAGTGATCAAGTCTTCAATACCGTAGTGTTTTATATGAATTTATTTCAATCGTCTGTGGAAACCTTTCAGAATTAAAGGGACATAACACCACTATACTAACTCATACACGTGTATTGAAAAATAAGCCCCGCCTACTAGCCCCATATGAAATATACATGGTCTACACGCTGTTGCTTTTAACCAATCATATTCCTAGAAATGTATAGGAGGTAAGATAAACAAGAATAGCTGTGTTTCTATCAAAATTTGGTTTGACATTTTTAAGGGAAAACATTGGAAAAAGGTACTTTATTTTAAAAATAACTTCTTTTTTATGAAGGCCCTCATTTTTAGGCAATACTTGATAAGTGACAAAGACTCATTCTGGGAAATCAGGCACCTTCCTATAAGGTTTTCCTGGTTAGTGTCTGTCAAGGTACATGTAGTGATTATAGTTGCTAAGCAGGCACACATCCAATAATTTATCAAAGGGGGTTCTTGTATAATTTTACAATAAAATATGTTGTGTCAAAATTTAGAACAAGAATTTATTACAGAAGCCCACTGCCTCCCACATGACATTTTAGGTTACTGTCAAGGTCATTATAAAGTCAATTATTATCTTTGTCCCTTGGCTGGCTGCAGGTTCTAAGGCTCTATTTACAATGTTTCTATGACATTAGTATAATGGTTGAGCTCTAACAAATATAATGATAGAAGTGTAGAGTTGTTTTATAACACTATTCTTGGTTAAGGTTTTTACATGTTCAGATATTGAAATTAATAAACTATGATGGATATTCTTTAATGTTGATTGTAAACAAAGGTCAAGTTTTACGTCATATTATTGAAGAATGTTTACTTTCTGTTGTGGATATTGGAAAAATGTTGTGATTCAGCTATATTCAGATGTGCGTCATCCATTATGAGGGACAAGTACATAAATATATGTATACAATCAATTTGACAATGTGCTATATATATATATATACACAAGTCTAAATTGAAAACAACGTTCAAACATATGATTGCGTTGGATAAAAACCGCAATTTGTTTACGTGTGCATGCAAAACAAATTTCTTGGTAGAGGGGTCTTAATACAGAACAAACAACATTTTCCAAAAGACCAAATGAGTGAAAAAGTATATTTTAACAAAACGCATTTGACTAGCAGGTCGAACAACTGATGTTCTTAAACCCTGCTTACTGCCATTGGCGATTGCCAAATAAACGGATCACAAGATGTAACAAAATAGATCTCATAATTAATATATTACCAAACAGAAAACAATAAACTTGTGGCAAAGATGGTATACCGCAAACAAAGGTGCAAAGATTTTTGTACACCATATCCGGATTTCAACAATTAATGTCTCTTCAGTGATGTTAGGAATTGAAACGGTATTTGGAAGGCCATATAATTTACCTCAATTTAGGATAGACTCTTGAATTTTGAAAGAGTCAAAATAGGATGAACGGATCATATAAACCCGAAGGCAAATATAATACAAGCCCAAACGAAAAAAATATAAACAAGTCT